GGCAGAAAAAATCGGCCAGGCGGCTAGGCGGCGCCTAGGCGGGCCTAGGCGGCTCTAGGCGCTCCTAGGCGGCCTTGGCGGGCTCGGCGGCCAGGCGGTTAGGCGGCGTCTAGGCGGGCGTAGGCGGACTTAGGCGCTCCTAGGCGGGCTCGGCGGCAATTTTTCAATTTTTTTTTAATTTTTTTTTTATTTTTTTAAATACTAATTACATTATTTTATCCTCATATTTTCTTTAATATATATTAATATTATTATTTGGACTTTGGTGTGTGAATTTATTATATGTTGAGATAATCTTATTTTGTAGGTAGTTAAAATAAATAAAAAATAAGGTATTTACTATTGATTTCTGGGCCCCGACTAGGCGCCGCCTAGGCCCCGACTAGGCGCTCTAGGCGCTAGGCACTGGTCGAGCGCCTAGCGGGCGCCTAGCGACTTTTAGAACACTGTTTACAATGAATTTTGTTTTGTTGTTGTTTTGACAAAAAAGGCCTCACCGAACACGTAAGAGTTAAAATTAGGCTTAGTACATTGAATAATAATTTGTCTAATATTGTTTGAAGGATGATTATTGATATTTGAAACTTTGAACTATAAGCCTTTCAACATCATTCAAGACCTCAATCAACACTCATTCTAATCCACCCACCTATTTGTAATAATTATTACATAAAAGATTTACTAGTTTATTTCATTCTCACATTATTATGTTGAAAATTAATAATACAAAATATACATATTAAGGATAGTACTTTGGTTGAGTCGGCATAACAATTAAACTGTTATATTTTTTTCATAAATATATATATATTTTTATTAAAAAATTTCATACTTTAGTTTAAACTGAAGTGTGACATTTGATAATATAAATATGTGAATTTATTTAAAAAATTAGTACAAGTCGATTCACTAACAGTTGGCTGGCTTACATAAGATTTGCATTTCATTAGTGATGGGTCTACTTCTAGATCTGAAGAGAACCGGTGGATTTGAGCTCAGATCTGCTTGAACTGCCTCTGAATTGTCGCTAGACCGCGAGAATACCTGCAAAAACTCAATGCCGGAGGTGTTTCCGGCGTAGAGCCTCCGACGCTCAAGTCAGTATGAGAGTAATGAAGGGATGCTGCGCAGCAGCTATGAGGGGAGTGTGGAATGAATGGGAGTTAGGGTTTGGGATTACCTCACCTCTTTTATATAGGAGTGGACATTTACCTGAAGTACTTGAAATGCCCCGGTCGGCTGACCTGTAAGGTCTAATTTGCCCCGGTCGATTCTTCTCCCCTTGCTGCTGAGTCATCACAAGATTCCATCTTATCCTATAGAGAATGTATAGTCTTTAGTATGTTACAAGTGTATCGAGTCGTTAGTGTATCTCACGTCTCGAGGTGTAAAGAGTCGACATCGAGCATGGACGAGTCGAATTAGGGATCTTCTGGCTATCTGGAACCTACGCCTTTGCTGGTCTTCTCAGTGAATGTCGACTACCTTGGAGTCGACTTTAATCAAGTCGACTTCTATGAATCGACTTGCGTGATACCTGCATCATCCTCATCATTCATCCTGTGAAGAGTCGACATTGGAAGAGTCGACTTGAGCACGTCGACATCATCATGTCGACATATAAGTAGTTCGGACGATTCTCCGGTCGAGTAGGGAACCTCTGGACCGGAACTTCTCTATATGGCTATATCAATTAGTTAATTATCTTTTTATATATTTTACATATCACATTTAACATTTTATTTTTGTAATAAGGTATTTTGAATGTAACTACAACCATAATTGAGTAATTGACTACGTGAGTAAGATAGTAACTCAAGGGTTTCATTGTTTGGTAGCAAAAAATACCATAGAGAATTATTCTTTATGTTAGATTAATAATTGCTCGTGTTTTTGAAATTTATTGATGCTCGTCCTACATTACCATGACATTAACATAATAAATTGACATTTGTACATAGTATTTGTATGTAAAACTTATTGAATAAACCATGCAACTATACTAATACTAAACACCAAAAAGAGCCATCCTTTTTCATAAACTCAAGACTAGGTTAAAGGGTTTGGCAAACTATATTTTATATCTAGAATAAATGTTAACCAATTCCAAAATTTAGTGAAGAATTTTGACCACATATCATTCTTTATTAAATTTTGCATTGGTTGGACACCTTTCTATAAGCATTAGGTTTATTGTTCACTTACCAACCGTGAGCATATTTATTAGTCACATGCCAAAAATCTCATGATATTGTAATTATAAACCTAACCGTGTATCGTATGCTAGTCTCCTGATACATCAGTTGACGAACAAATTAACATGTGTCACTATTAAGATAAAGAGACTGGTTGAAATAAATCAATTACATATTATGTATGCAAACAAATTAACATTGCTGTCATAGTCAATATAAAGAGACTGTTTGAAATAAATCAATTACAAGATATCATGTATGCATAAAATAATTTGTAGAAAATCAGTTACTATAACCTCAAAAATATTAATTATTGTAACTAGGTTATATTACTTGAAAAGAAACAAAGTTAAAGAAAATTATGAATTCGCAAATGTATAAAATGGAGGATTGAGGCTGCAAACGAGGCGAGTCGAGTCAAGCACGGACCTTGTATATTGTAGATCAAACTTTTTTCTTCAGTATGCTCGGCATGGCTCCAGTTCGGTTTGAATTTTTAAAAACTAAATTTTAAATATAAATGTATTATATGTAATCTTAAATACACAATTTGGCATTGCTTACTGGGATGATCCCTATCAAACAAAGCAAAATTCACTTGATTGATTCATGTAATATTGATAATTAAACTATATGAGGCATTTATGTAAAAAAAAGTCGAGCAACTCGTCAAGCTTACGAGCCTATTGAAATGCTCGAGGATCGACTCGTTTGCTCGATTGAACTGCTCGAGCTCGACTAAAGTTCGAGTTTGACCGAGCACAAGTCGAGCATTGACTCGAGTGATCACGAGCGGCTCGTGAGCCAATCAACTCGTTTACAGCACTCGGTGGGACAACAATAAAAGACAATAAAATACAACAATTAATCGTGGAAATTATGAAAATTTAGATTGAAAATTACATTAATAAAGGATGAGAAATGATACATTGTCAATTTAGCGTACAACTAGGTTGACAACACAAGTACAAACATCCATAAAAATAAAAATAAAAAATACACAAGTCAATGTTTTCCACTTATGTTGTCAACTTAATTATAGTGTTGTATACTAGGTTGGCTCCGTATCATTTTTTATAAAGGATAAATGGAAAAGGGCAAAAGGGGTAGAGAAATTTTGGCAGGGACGCATGTCTCCTCTGAAGTTGATATTCGCATGTTATGAATGTCTTTTGAACCATTCACGAGTAATTTCTCTCTCTCTCTCTCTCTCTCTCTGTCTCTCTCTCTCCATTAACTCTGCTGCTAAATTACTCAGTACTCACAGTGACCAGAAAACAGAGCCCCAACCTCTCTCTCTCTGGTAAAGATGAACAGATGCATTCAGTAGCTAAACTTTAAGGACCGCTTTTTGAATGAATCTTTTGTACTGAAAAATCACATCATCTTCTGTTGGTCTTGTTGTTCTTATACCCCTTTCTTGAAAATGCCATTGAGAAAAATAACCCCTTTTGCGTTTTCTGGTATGAAAAATCGAAACCTCCCAACACATGTAATGAATGCATATGCGCATCATGTTTCGACTCATCTTCTTGAACGAGAATTAACCTTTTGATTTTCACCTCAAAAGCTCGAGGGCCCACATAAAGTTTCAATCTTTTTTTACTCTCTTGCCTTTCCAGTTCCCTTTATTGCGAAATATAATCAAACCCCACCAAGATTCACACAAGAAGGAGGTGGATTTTTGCTCTTCTTTTCCTCGTTTGATGTTTTTATGTGAAGAACCCATGAAGAATTTTCAGTGGCTGAAGCAAATAGCAAACACCCACAGCAAGCTCGAGAGGAGGCTCTCACTGGGCGAGTACAAACGCGCTGTCTCATGGTCAAAATACTTAGTCTCCTCAGGGGCTGAAATCAAAGGTGGAGGTGAGGATGAATGGAGTGCTGACATGTCACAGCTTTATATAGGCAACAAATTTGCCTCTGGGAGGCACAGCAGAATCTACAGGGGTGTTTATAAGCAGAGAGATGTGGCTATCAAGCTCATTAGCCAGCCTGAGGAAGATGGAGATTTGGCTGCATTCTTGGAGAAACAGTTCAAATCAGAGGTTGCTTTCTTGTTCAGGTTAAGGCATCCTAACATCATCTCTGTAAGTACAGATCTTTGTTTTTGTTTTTGTTATTTTGTTTTATTTTTAACTCAATTTGTTCATGCTGTCTTATGATTTGTATTTGTGCTGTGTGCTCTTTTTTGGTCATGTGGTTTCGTTTTGATGGGTCTTGCCTCTTTGGGGGGTTCATCATTTGGGATTCTTTTGGGCTGGTTGTACATTGTGCAGTGGCTGTTGTACCTTGCTTTACAGGATCTCTACTTCACTGGCATTATGAATTTTCCTAGAGATTGGGCTGGTTGTACATTGTGCAGTGGATGTTGTACCATGCTTTACAGGACTCTACTTCACTGGCATTATCAATTTTCCTAGAGATTGGGCTGGTTAATTTGTGTTCATGTTGCTGTTAGTCCCATGTGTAATTGCTTACTTAGTTTAAAATGGCAAAGTAGTTGCAATTAGTGGTCAAGATCTGCACTTTTCTATGTTAGGCTTTTATAGTGTTTTGTATTAAAGAACTTAGGCCTTAGGAATTATATGTCGTTGAGCTCAATCCTACGGATCACGTTCATATTAACATCATTAAATAAATCCAACCGCTTCCAGAAGATGATCTATTAGGAACAATCCTGATTCCTTAGTTTATCTCAGAAAATCGATGAACAATGTTGATTTTCTTTTTTTTTTCCCCTTTTCTGCTACTTGCACTAATATGCAGCCTTTTACGGTAGAAGCTTCTTTTCTATACTTCAAATCTTTTCCAAAGGGGAAAAAATCCACCTTTGGAAAATGGTGGTGAAATCACATCGAAAAACACACACTCATTTCCTTTGAGCTTAAAAATAACTAGTTTGGATAATCCCATTTCACCGTTTACACATTTGGAAGTCATATCATCATAACCACTCAACAATATTATACATGCAGTTCATAGCAGCATGCAAGAAAGCTCCAGTCTTTTGCATAATAACCGAGTACTATCCTGGTGGGTCCCTCAGAAAGTACCTTCACCAGCAAGAACCCTATTCCCTCCCATTAAACCTCGTCCTAAAACTAGCCCTCGACATTGCACGTGGCATGCAGTACCTTCACGCTCAAGGTATACTTCACAGGGACCTCAAATCCGAAAACCTTCTTCTGGATGTGGACATGTGTGTAAAAGTAGCAGATTTCGGCATATCGTGTTTGGAGTCTCAATGTGGGAGTGCAAAAGGGTTCACGGGTACTTACCGATGGATGGCGCCTGAGATGATCAAGGAAAAACACCACACGAAGAAAGTTGACGTGTATAGTTTCGGTATTGTTGTGTGGGAGCTTTTGACTGCTTTGACCCCATTTGACGATATGACTCCCGAACAGGCTGCTTTTGCCGTGTGCCAGAAGGTAATAAAAAGATTCAATCTGTTATGAGCTTTTCTTTTTTGTGCTTTT